TAAGATTGGAAGCACATGATTTGTGTTAATTCCGCGCTTGATGATAAGAGATTGCGATTTCTAAAAAACTTCATTTCTAAATTACTAGTGACTTCGCTAGGTAAGTTAGATAGAATTTCTTACTTTAATTCTCAATTTAAAGATTTGCAATTTTTTTGGAGTTTTTTGATTATCACTCGAGCCATCCTGTGGTCGTCCCACCATTTTTTTCAAAAATTTTCTATTTTCTGCAGATTTTCATAAGTTAGAAGTGGGTCAGCAATCCTAAATCTTGGAATTTTATTCATAGAAGACTAAAATAGCTACCTTTTCATTTAACTCTTTTGTACTCCATTTTTTTTGCCGAACAACAGTAGCAACTTTCGGATGGTTTTATCACACTTTGTTATCTCTTTGCAAATGAAACATCGGAATGCTTCGAACAATTGGTGATAAGATGAAATCGACCGAGAAGACGCAGGAATTTAGTATTGCCAGGGTCCCAAAAAATATGAACAACCTCTTTTTTTGCAAGCAGATTTGTTATAAACGAAATAGCTGAGACATTATGCCAGTTCAATAGTCCTCATTATCTAGACGTTGTATCAGGACTATTTATCACCACAATATTGAGTCATAATATAGATATTTACTTTAATTCTTCTACTTGTTACCAATCCATTGAGGTTTTATAAGATTTACATATGTTTATCCTATGCAGTAAAAATGACTTATTCAACAAGTACTCCATAATAATGTAGAACGTAATTTCGATAACAAATTTATCTTAAAAACTCTCTTAAAAATCAAAAAGTAGCCCTATTTAAGGCCCATGAGCGCACAAACTTCATTCCCAATAGTTGTTCATTAGCTCCGAACTTCCTGAAACTTTCGTGCCATTTTTTACCTTTCATTTAGTTACCTTTGTACTTTTCTGCGTTCTGTTTCGACATAGGATGATTATAGGGACAGAGCTTTAAAAGTCTGTTTACTTTTTATCTGGGTATGACTGTTTATCGCTTACATCAAAAGCTGTTACAGTTTATTACCTGTTACAGGCAAAATGGACAAACCTAAGAGCAGACTGTAGCAAAGGTTCTGTCCGAAAATTTTTTATTCTTGCATATAGAGATACTGTAAAAGTGCTCTAAATTCTAGAGGGCTACCTATCTCTGAGCATAGCATTATGTAGTATTGTAGGCAATTTACGGCATTGAATTCACAACGTCAAAAGGTCTGACGAATCTTTTTTGAACGCCTTCGAACCCTATACAACAATTTTCTGATGATTTCATGATCAACAAGTGCCTTCCATGATCTCTGTTACCTAATGCACAGTCAATGTCAATACATCATATCTTATTAAAGATAAGAGAACTAAACTTCTCCTCTGCTACCATGGGTTAAGTTAGAAAGTAATTGCTAAATGTAGGGAGTCAAAACCGTCCTCTTTTATACCACAACTAACGGCTCATGCTTTACGAAAAGCAGATTTTCGTTAGTTTTTGCATCACCCTAGTACACTTCCGACATTCTGCTAAGAAATATTGGAAATCTGGACCGCATCTTCAATCTACTGCATTCTCTAAGTGTAACCTCGTTTAAATGCTACCTGCTTCAATTCTATGTTCCGGCCATTGCAAAGAACTGAATTGAAAACTCTTTTAGATTGCTTCTTTCACATTTCTGAAAGGAACGTCATGTTAATCAGAGAAGGTCGAGAGTATGACTGCTAACGAAGAAACTCGTTTGAAAATAATATTGAAAACAAAAGTAACGATTCTTTTGGAAAATTTTTTGGAGCAATTTGATACAAGAAGCCAGTAATTTCTTTTAGTAACAACATTATAACAGATAAACCTCGCTGTGCATTCACTTACAAGGCAAGGTTTGGTATGAGGTTTGCCTGAAGCTTTATAAAGAGACTGAGTTCATTTATTCCTCCAAACATTCCCCAAGCAAATCGTGGGGTACGAGTTTCTTAAAGAGGTGAAAAGCCATGAAGAGACCGGCATGTTGGACGTTTTGATGAAATCAAGCATCGTGGGCCATTCTCGCTTTAAAATTTCGAAAAAAATTACAGTCAAATCTACTGATTTGAAATTTGGAAAAATTAGCAAGTAGAAAGTATTATGAACTGAAATCGAGATGAAACTGTGAACTTATACAAAGAAAGAAGCCCTTTTCCAAGCAATTTCTCAAAGTGTAAAACGAAAATATCTATTTTGCTAGAAAGAGTGTGCAAGAAATTTAGTTTCATTTGGATTGCGTGCCAAAGTATGTTATTCCTCTAAACGCTGTTTGATAGAAAGGACAACCGAAATCAGTAATGTGAGGTAAATAACCAGTAATTCCATTATCGATGAAGTTTTTCCGTCTTAAACATCAAGAGATTCACGCTTCTTCATCCGTTCTCAGCAATAGCTCATAAGGGATAAAGTAATTTATGAAAGTTACAGAAAAAGGGCTGTACTAAGCGGCTGCTAAGCAAGACAACTTGAAACACCTTGCAGTAA